CTCAAATATAGAAAATAATTTAGAACGGATTTTCATAAGAAATAACCAAGTCATACTAGAATAATCATCCACTAATAACACAAAATAAGAAAATTTATTATAAGAAATATTCTTTATTGTACTCCATATATTAGAATGTACTAACTCAAATGGATTAGACACACGTTTATTGGCTCTCGACTGAAAGAACACACGGTGATGCTTACTAAGTTGACAAGTTTCACAAGACATAAACAGTACATAATTAAGACTAGGAACTTAACGCTTCAGATTCTGGAGGGAGTGATGACCAAGATGACAATTTCACTGCAAGGGAGATGATGAGGTTTGGAGTGCTCGAGATGGGAAATTAAAGTCAAAATAATAGACCATTGGCTTCATGCCCCATATCAATTTTTCTCTTTGTTTGGAGATCCTAAAATACACAATAAGATTGATAACAAGTTACTGAACAATTAAGATAGCGGGTAATTTTGCTAATAGAAAGTAAGTTAAATGGAAACTGTGGGACAAATAAAATGGATGAGAAGGACATAGCAGGACTCAATTGAGTAGTACCCAAACATAAAACTTTAGAAGTACCATTAGTAAAGGTAACACTATGTGGGGAAGTAACATAATGATAAGTATAAAATACACTAGACGAATCAATCATGTGGTTAGAAGTGCCGGAGTCTATGATCTGGGGATTGCGGGTAGAGGACGGTAAACAAGTGGAAGCGGTACTTGACCGGACAAAAAGTAACAGTGGGAGATGGAGTAGCCTGTTGCCAAGCCATGAATTGAGCATACTCCTATCATGTGATAATGACTTAACTCAGAGTCGGGCAGAGTAAACTGAGATACGGGAGCAGGTAGAGAGGAAGTGCTAGTGTCGTGCTTGGATTCCATAGTAATATAACAATTAGTAGCACTTAAATAAGAACAAAGGTGAGAAAAGACCTTAAGTGTAGCACGGAATAACAGAGTAGGGAAGTTGGAAGAGGTTGAACTGGACAAAAGAGGCCACTGGAATGCTGAATCGGACTAAAAAAGCTTGTTGGACCGTTGAACCAGACTAGAGCCAAATGCTGGACCATTGAATTGGACTAAACAAGCCTATTGGACCACTAAATTGGGCTGAATAAGTCTACTGGATTGGTGAACCGGACTAAACAAGCTTGCTAGAACACTGAATCGGACTAGAATCAACTGTTGGACCACTAAATTGGACCAGAATTAACTGTTGGACCATTGCACCGGACCAAAATTGGTTTGAAAAGGGCTGAGTCAGAATGAACCAATCTTGAATTAGTCTGAGAAGAGGTGAACCATTCCTGAACTGGTCTGAGAAGAGGTGAACCGAACCGGTCTGAACCTGAACCCAATATGTTAGCACCTGAGTTAGGTTGAAGTCCTGAAGGTTTGGGCTTGAACTGTGGGCCTTCGATTGGCTGGGCAATTAATTTAGCCGGTCGGCCAACAAATAATTGGGCTGGGCAATTAATTGAGGATTGGGCTAGGCAATAAATTGAGCCTGTGACCCTATGATGGGTTTTAAGCCGACGGATCGACCTAGCTCCCAATGGACTTCGTCTTATCCACGTCGAAGGGTTCTATTGAACTCTAGCTGCGGATAGGAACGACAGTGGATCGAAGCGGGGGCGGGGAGTGTAGTCTCCATCCCCGTACCTGTTTAAAAAAATTCCGTTCATCCCTGGTCTACCCCCATTAACGGATATAATTTTCATCCTTATCCCTATCACTATCTCTGTCCGCGGGTAAATTTGTAATCGCTGCCTCCACTCCCGCCCCATCCCTCGCCTTCACCTCAACCCCCACCCTTGTCCACCTTATTCGGCCAAGTCTAAGTCCAACAAGTCAACATTATTCAAAATTCTAAATAAATCTAATATTTTAAATAATCCAACATAATTACAGAATATTATAACATAATTAAAAGTTTGTCATTTACAACATAATATAATTAAAACCTTGTTTGCAACATAATCAAACATAATATAATTAAAAGTTTGTGTTCCTTGTAAATCTAATACAATATTATGCAACACAACGTAATATAACATAACATAATGCAATGTAAAAAAATATAAAAACACAAAAATTTACACATTTACAAGACAACATTATGGAAAAAAAATTAAAAAATAAAATCATTTTTAAAAGAAAAATCATTCAATGATATGTAGATTTGTATTCACAACATTTATCTATATATAAAATAATAATAATAATAATAATGCGTTAAGTGCAGCGGGGATAGGCGGGACGGGGTAAGTGTCAGTCCATTCACGCCTTTATACCCGTACGGGTTTATACGGGTATCCCCGTATACGTCCACCGTCCAATACGTGTAGTTCATCTCCATTCCAAACAGGGCGAGTTTGGACGAATACCCATTTTTATCCGGTCCACTGCCATCCCTAGCTGCAGATGACATGCAACACCAAGCCAATACCAGACCATGACAACTACTTCCAACCATCGGCGACCACCACAACACACCCACCGAAGCTGCCAATGACAACACATCAATAGAATTGAGTAGTAACAACAACTCGATTACTGGGCCTCAACCAAAGCACACAAACAACTACACTAGAAATACCAAACCACTTTGGCAGCGACAATGACACCACACCATACCACTAGCGACAAGAGTCAATACAACCAATACACAAACGATGACAACCATTGGAATCCAATACACGAACGAAGATCACCACCGGTAACCACAACACAACACAACGGCTACCATAATCAGAGGCTACGATACATGTTGCAATACAATGACAGCATATGTGGCTGACAACAATCACAACCCACACCCGATCACAATCGACCTCCACAACACTCGCAAGGAGTCTGACGTTAAACCATCATCACCCACGACCCTAGACCATGGTCGTGGGGTTACACTGTGTGTTGAATTGGATTAACGGAACATAAATAGAAACGAAAATAAAAGAAGAAAAAGAGATGAAGAAAGAAATTCTTAGAATAAATCCTCAATATCAAAAAATAATTCTTAAATCAAAATTTTGTGTCTATCGTGCTCTGATACCATATTAAGTTTAGAAAATTAACACTATATTAGAGAAACGGAGAGTGGTCAAATATTTAAGCAACCTCTCATTAACAACTTCATCTCTTAAACATACAAAGGATGAATATACCTTTAAGAGGTAATTACATAATAATAATACTCTCAACATGAAGCATTAAAGTTTATGACAACTAATAAGTTTTAATCTGATATCATGTCTTTTCTTTCTACTGTCTTGATATGTCTGTAGATAATATTATGATTCTACAGTTAACTGTTGATCCAGTTAGCTGTCTGTTCTAGGCTTGATAGTTGTAACAGTTGCTCCTTACTATTTCACAAAGGATCTCCCATGCATTTTCATATCTATGTGTTTATTTGACCAAGCTTTTCCTGTCAGTGATAGTGGTTAAATAACTACTAAAAATTTTTGATTTCCTATTTTATCCTTAATTATTATTATAAAGTCAATTATACCCATAAATTTAATTCATTCAATTTTTATTTTCTATACTTATTTGATTTCTAAGTTCTTTGGGCTTTTTTATTAGTAATAGTTGGCTTATAAATTTTTTGGACTTATTTATTTGTAATGCACTTATATACAGTTTTGTATATTTATCTATATTTATACGAAAAAGTAAAATCCAATCTATATTTTATTAGTATATACATGTAGTTGTCGGATTGGATTCTCCGATTTAATATATGCAATAGTTAATTTTCTTGTATGCTACAATATCACAATATTATAGAACAAACAATAGTATTACAATTTAATCAATCTCTTCGACAAAAAATGGTAATAAATCTATAATAGAATTTGATGTGCAAATACTCAAGAATGACAATCTTATAATGAAGATTCATTATAAACAAAAGAGGAAAAGTCTAAAGGGGCTAGGGAGATATCTAAAAAAGTGACAAATTAGGTATTTAAAGAGGAATATAATAGATCAATAATTAGGTTTGTAACAATTAAACAGTTTTTATAATTACGATAGAAGACATTTTTTTTATCATCAGCTTTTACTTTATTCTTTAAATGTCACAATTCATTTTTAGAAATTGTGAAGGATTATTCTATTTTAGCTGCATCTTTGATCAGGATCAGCAATTATGATGTTTGGTGTGCTTACAATGCAGGTTGCGGGGGAATTGGTAATATTATGTGTTCAGATTGCGGTGGCCGTGGTCATCTTGGATTTGCATAAATTGTAAGGTTTGTTTCTAGTCCTATGTTTGACGTTGTAGAGGCTCTGAATTCTGTAACTTCTAGTTGGAAAGTGCTGGAGTTGAGTTTTTTTTTTCCTTTGAAGTGATAATTGATTGACTGATGGATGTTATGTTGTGATGAATTTAAACTTATTAGCTACATGTCAGAGGTATTTGAATCGATTCTTCTTTTGTTGATGAAATTTTGTCATCAAATGCTTTCTCATGACTTCACTTAATAATTTAAAGCATCCCCCCCTCCTCTCCTCCCTCTTCCCGGACTAAGAACTAGTCTGGCTTATTGTGCACTGAAGGATGTCATACTTGCATTTTGTCTGTGATGGATGATGGATTTATGCATGCATGATAATAGACTTCACCTGAAAAGACTTCAGTAATCAATAGCACACCTAAATTCTAATGTTTAATGGTGGGTATAAATTTAAATAAGCTTTCGCAAGCCAGTGATTTTATTGGACCCTGTTGTACTGCTCTAGAAAGGCTTTCTACAGCATTGGGATGTGTTCAATTTGAATATTGAAATACATTTATTAACAGGAAAACTTAACTTGCCATTTAACAAAAAGAAGGCAAAAAATTTACTGCCCAGATTTTTTTTTCACCTTATCAGTATTGCCAGAATTTCTAATGCTTTACTACATTACAGATTACAGATTACAGATTACAGACTGAATGAATGTTTAGAATGAGTTGTGTGCTAGAAAATTCTCAACGAATGCTAAGCTTGATATCTCTGTAGCTCCTGAATGCGAACTGGGATGGTAGAGTCAAACAGCTGGCTTTGTGGGTTTTCTGCATAGGCAACATAGTATGATGAAATGCTAGCTTGTGGCCACACCATGGCAACGCGACTCTGCAACCATCAAAAATAGAAATTAGTGTCTTCTTTGGAACTATAAATTCTTAGTAATGGCTGCATTATTACCGTGAAATATCCAATCAAGAAGGCGTACACCAACACTTCAGTTGCATAGCTTTTATGAACCACTAGAGCCCATGAACCAGCTATTAGAGTTGATACGGCTCCCCCTGCCACTCCACAGAGGAAACAAAATGAACTGGTGAGGTCAGAGTCAATCAAAGGTTCCAACCCAACTTTTTTGAACATCTCCCATGTATCTATTGATGCTTGTACAAATCCTTTGCTATAAATCCCAACATGCACAAAACCCCATCGGTTTGCATATGCTATTAGCCTTGAAGCGACTCCTGAGTAGCAATTAGTACATGAGAACATGAACTCATCTGCATCCCCTGAAATCAAACTAATGGCCCGGGCCGAACCCCGAACGACCCCGACAACTGGCACAAGGACTGAACCAATGCAAACACTTCCCATTGAATGGTTAATTGTGTCTTTAAATGCAATCTTTGTACCAATCTCCGTGCCGCTTGCAAACTGCATGTATTTCACACGAGAGATTGCAACTTGCAATGTGTTCTTGATAACATGCAAGGTCCAAGCTTGGCTTAGCAGGATCACAAAGACGAACAGAGTATCTAAGCCAGTTCCGATGGCAGTGGCTCCTCCAATGCCGGAAACCAAGAAACCCGAATAAAGGGTACATGAAACAATAGATAGAAGGATGGTGGTTTTAGGAGGAGAGGGTGAGAGAGAAACTGATAGTAGCCGGACAGCATACTCGAACCGGGGATTTACCCAACATGAATAAAGGGATTGAATGACGGAAGAAAGAAGAGCTACTGCTCCTGCTACCAAGCTTCCAGCTGAACCGATTAAGACAAAAAGAATGCCCACCGCACATGTTAGCACAGGGCTAAGCCAGAAGGCTGCCTTAATGGCTCTTGGTGGGTTGCAGCAGGTGACTGATTGCCATGCAAAACTGACAATTCCGGCACATGCTGTTGAAGCGAGAAGCGGTGGGTACCATTTTTTAGGGTGGAAGTGGTGGCTGTGGGCAGCGGAGAGGAGGCCGCGGATGGTGAGAAAGATTACCAAGATTGCCATCAGGAGAGAGTGTAAGTAGAAGGCATTTCGAAAGAGGTTCCTAAAGAAGGTCCCTGTGGTCCTTGTCTCAAACTGGGTGCTGTTGGGTTCTTGTATCTGCATTCACAATAAAACAAGTTGGTATATAATTTATGAAGTCTATCAGATTGATGGAGCTTAATTATCGTATGGGCAGAGATTCAATCTTATCGATTTAAAGTGTAGGGTGGCTCAAGTTGAAGGTACATAAAAAACTGGGAGGAAACAAGGAGTGTGTGTCTGCGGTAGAGAGAGAGAGAGAGAGAGAGAGAGAGAGAGAGAGAAGGAGAGGCTTGATGGGGGAAGAGAGATGATGAAATAATGGCAAGGACCAGGAATGGGTTTGTACGTCAGACACGCAGAGAGAGAGAGAGAGAGAGAGAGAGAGAGAGAGAGGATCCTTGATTGAGTATGTGGGTGGAAGATCTTGACTATCACTTGCTTGGATTTGGATCGACTGTGTAGCTGTGGAGTCATTGACCTTGATTGTCGCCATGGTGATAGTGATCTGCCCTTTTTTCTTCTTTGTATAATGCGTTGGGTATTCCTCTCACCTTGGAGCCCACGATTCATCAACACCAGATTATGAAATTTTCAACTTCAAACCCTATTATTATATACTTCACTCAAGCTCATTCAAAGTCTTACTTAAAACATCTGCGTGTGTGTGCTGACCAAGTCCTATTCCTATACAATTCTTTCAAGCAAGATCAATATGGTGATCACGTTATTCTATGTATTTTGGTGATGTGGCATGCTGATGTGATAAAGACAGCTCAGCTCTGGGTGACGTGATGAGGAGGGTGTCCATGGCCCTCGTGATCATGCAGTTTAATTTCCCCACAGAATGTGGTTGGGTTTTAGAAGTAAAGAATGAAGGAAAGAAAAGTAAATGTTGTAGTGTTTGTCATAACTGTTTGGTTCACCAGTTCAACTGCTTACTGATTAACTAATTTAGTTATTTCTTTTCATGGGCAGAAATGGACATTCAGCAATGAACCAGGCTTCTCACGTGCCTTCTCTCTCTCTCTCTCTCTCATCCTAGATCCGGCACTAGATCATCCACTGCACTCCTAAATGCTCTCAATTTATTCAATCTAGATCGTCTGCTGTATAATAGAGAAATATGAAAATAGAATGAGATTCTTAGATTTAGAGTGTGTTTGAAATGTCTTATGAAATCCAAAAAATATTTTTTTTAATAAATGTTTATCAAAAGTGTTTATAAGAAAAATAATTTTATTAAATAAATACTGTTTGGATATTTAAAATTTAAAATACTTAAATTAATGTATTTTATAAAAAACACGTTTGGATGTGAAAATACTTATTTGTGTCACAATTATTGATAGCATTAAATGCACATATAAAAACATACACTACACATATAATGATAAACAAAAAAAAAATATCTTACACAAAAATATCATATTAATAAAAGTGTCATACCAAAAAACTACATAGTCCAACTATCACAATGACATACTAAAGTCACAAAATACATGTTAATAGTAAATACAATCAAAAATCATACTTGATTGTCCCTTAGTGATCAACCTTCTACTAGTTCTATTGCTCCAATAGAGAAAAATATAGAACAACATGTAGAGCTAAGGAGAAGTAAAAGACCAAGAATAAAGAAAGACTTAGGAGAAAGATTTTTTACTTTTCTAGTAGAAAGAGAGCCAATGACATATAAAGAAGCTATGCCTTCTATAGATGCACCTTTTTGGAAGGAGGCTATTAATAGTGAAATTGAATTTATATTACTTAATAATACTTGGGAGATAGTAGAATTGCCTCCTGGATGCAAAGCTATTGGGTGTAAGTGGGTATTTAAGAAGAAATTAAAATATGATGGGAGTATAGATAAATATAAAGCTAGATTGGTGGCTAAATGATTTACTCAAAAGAAAGGAATATATTATTTTGATACATACTCGCCTGTGTCTAGTATTACTACCATTAGAATACTAATAGCTCTAGTATCTGTCCATAACTTAGTAATACATCAAATGGATATTAAGACCGCTTTCCTAAATAGGGATTTAGATGAAGAAATATATATGGAACAACCTGAGGGGTTTATGGTGAAAGGACAAAAACATAAGGTTTGTAAGTTAGTGAAGTCTTTATATGGCCTTAAACAAGCTCCCAAACAGTGGCATGAGAAGTTTGATAAAGTAATTCTAGAGTATGATTTTCAAATTAATGAAAGTGATAAATGTTTATACTACAAGGATAGTGATGTTGGTTGTGTGATTTTATGTCTCTATGTAGATGATATACTAATTTTTGGGACAAACTTGGAAGTCGTTAATGATGTTAAATCTTATTTATCTACTAAGTTTGATATGAAAGACTTGAGAGAAGCCTATGTGGTCTTGGAAATGAAAATAGAAAAAACATCAAATGAAATATCTCTAAGTCAGTCTAGCACCATAGAGAAAATGTTGAAAAATTTTGATTTTTATGATAGTAAGTCTGTATCAACACCATATGATCCTCATGTACATTTGAAGAAAAATAAAGGAGAACCGATTTCACAATTAAAGTACTCACAAATGATTGGATCTTTATTATACATAGTAAGTAAGTTTAGACCTGATATCTCGTATGTCGTAGGGAGACTAAGTAGATATACACATAGTCCGAGTAAAGAGCATTAGATTGCCTTAGAGAGAGTCTTTAAGTATCTTAAAGGAACCTTAGACTACTCTTTATGTTATAGTGGATTTCCTAGTGTAGTTGAGGGCTTTAGTGATGCAAATTGGATCATCGATAGTTTAGATATAAAATCTACTACTGGCTATGTCTTTCTGTTAGGAGCAGCCATATCTTGGGGATCTAAAAAACAAACCCTAATATCAAGAAGTACTATGGAGTCGAAACTTATAGCCTTAGATACCACGTGTGCTGAGGCTGAGTGGATAAAGAATTTATTACTAGAGATACCTCTAGTGGAAAAACCCATACCTGCTATTTCATTACACTGTGATAGTAAGGCAGTGATTGAGCTTATGAAGCAAAATCATAATAACAAAAAGATGAATAGACATATACAAGTGAGATATAAATCAATAAAAAAAATGCTGAGTAAAAACATAATCTCACTAGACTTTGTGAAGTCTGAGCTAAATATTGCTGATCAGCTAACTAAAGGGCTATCGAGGAAAGATGTCTCAGAACTGTAGAGGGGGATGGGCTTAAGCCCACAAAGGAGTCACCTATGGAGGTAACCCAACTTCTGTGATTAGGGACCCCATGAAGGAATTTCAATGGGTAGAAACAATCCATACTGCGTGATTCATTAGCACTGTTATTTAGGAAATATCCAAGGGGAGATATTTTTCTGCTCATCCCTATGGCAGAAGTGCATATATAGTGTGACAGTAAGGAAGGGTTTTATCCTGAATGAGACCGAGACAGGAACACTTCTGCAGGGTATTGTGCACATGTACCATTGGAGGGCTCATCTAAGTGAGAGTAGTCGTGAGACCGCGACTAAGAGAATTGGACTATTCTCTAGAAACTCTCATGAGAATCAAGATCAAGTGCAAGACCATTAATATCACTGACCCACGAATCTTTGACCAATATCGATACTGTGCGTGTGACATGTTGAACTTTGGTCCAAAGGATCTAGTTCAAGCCTTTGGTCACTATGATCCTTCAGAGGAAAATTGTTAACACTAAGTGAGGTTCAAGTCCGGAAGACACCTGCACCTATTGCACAGTATAATAGTTGCCCATATTTTTTATATTACAGTATATATAAAATATTTGAAATATTTTGAAGTTTCAAAAACTTGTGGGGATTGTAAGAATAAAATTAAGTTTTTAAAACTTTTATTAAATTTCTATTTTAATTATGTGAATTTCAGTTGCAATTTTGTGGTCCTATTTAGTGTGAATATTCAAGAATAATTATTATTGATCTTAAAATTGGTTTTATGGGTATTCAAGGCTAAACATTCAAATCCATTGAATATATATATATATATATACACACATTTATCATTTGTAAGTTACATAGTAGCCAACGGTCAAAAAGAAATTGGAAAGTCAGCATGTGTAAAACAATTGAAACCATTGAATAGTAATCATGTTCCAAACGGCTGGAAAAGAAAAATTGAATAGTCATTGTGTGTACGTTAGACACACAGCGACTATATAAAGTTTTTGAGAAATTATTTTCAAGTGAATAAAAATAGAAATACTACAGTCCTCATTTCAGTAGACTTTTGCTCATATCAATTCTTTTATATTTTGACATATCTTTTTCGATTATCTTCTATTTCTTTATTTTTGAGGCAACTCAATTCGAGTCAAGTTCACTTCATCCTTCCAGTGGACGTGATCACTGAGAAGGTGCTACTGCAAGCGTCTGGGTTAGATCTTGGAGTCGCTGGTGTCCGTCAGTACCCTCACGTGGGGAGGCTCAGCTGCTTTAGGACAGTGATCACACGCCTCTCGGATTTGCAGGACAACTCATTCTAAATTAATTTATTTAGTTTATATAGATTGCACGTTTATATATTTTATACATTTATTTATTTAAATTGCATGTTATATGATCTAACTATTGTTTACATGCTTTATTTCGAATTTTAGATTACAACACTCATAATTATATTGCTCATATCATAATTCTAATAATTGTTGATTTGACCAAAAGTTTAGTAGCAATTTTTATTAATTCCAATTATAAATATATTCTTAAAATCTATAATTATTTTTACAGTACTTCGACACTTGCAATTTCTTCATGTTGGCTTGTGTTAGCCCCTTAACATGTTGGCATTGCTAAGGCATATGGGTGGTTTGCCAAATGACGCCCCATGCTGAAGCCAAGGTGGGGGTGTCCTTGGCTAAGCACTCCCAATGTGCTTGACGGATGGCAGAAGTGTTGAAAATGCTAACTAGTGTGTGCAGTACTGATAGTTTTGTAAATATGGTATTATGACTCCTCGATAACCTGATATCTACTATTGGCCCTTTGGTTTTCCTTCATAATGCTATTATAATTTTTTTTTGGGAGAGGGTTACTTCTCAAGTGAGTGCCCGAGTGTCAACCATTATGACCCCTAGCATCGGTATGCCAAAGCAAGACATAACCCCAAGAATGCTTGCCATGGGTAAGGCAAGACAGGCAAAGTCCGAGACTTGGGGAATGGGGGACCGAGCCATCATGGGACCTGTTACTGTTAGAAGTCCCTTGCCTGATTGTGGGAGACCACACATTATGGGCGCAACAAAGCGAGGCAAGACATAGCCATTATGC